ACCAATTTTCGAAGCGAGAAGGCGACAAATGTTGCTGGAAAACGGGCAGGCGCAGCGCCAAACCCTATCATTCACATGTCTCCAGCAACTGCAGCAAACAAGACTGTAAAGGAGCCTCAGTGGCACACGGAAAGCATTGGTTTCACCTCTTTAGGTCCGAATAGGGAAAGGCTCATTGATATACAATTGGCCACCTTCATCACAGCTAAGCATCCGCCCATTGACTCCCTCCATTGCCCAGACATGGACGACGGATGCTCACTGGGCATTGGGGAGAGCCAGCGGTGGCGTCCAAACATATCTACGAGGCGAGTCTTGTCATGCTTTCTGATACTTCGGGGTTTGTCGAAGGAAAAGACACACTCGCAGTACATGCTTCCATAGAATTGAAGTCTCTTGCGCGACCTCTGCTTTCAGACGTCCCTTAGCTCGGACGAAGTATGGAGCACCGGGTGCACCAGGCAACGAATCGGATATCATCACCCTCCAGTCTCCTTGAAGGGCTCGCCGTGCGATAGGGCGGATGGAATCGCGAGAGCACACCCGGGATCACCACCTAAACTCCCTTCTGAGGCACCTTGAGCGGAGAAAGTGTCCGGATACTACAGCTGCGGACCCATTCACCTCGCACATGGCAACGACCAGGATCCCGTAGGAATGTGCGCAGTTTGTGTTTAGCTTTACGCCGAGCTGGCTATCCAGTTCGGCAACACAACAAGGACGCCAAAATGTGGTCGTCTACTCCACAGCATGTATGAAAACAAAACGAACCCTGCTGACACTCTGCTCTTCTTCCGAAAACTAAAAAAGGAGATGATTGAACTGGTTCTGGTCACAGTACACTCCAAAAATGGCATCACCTTCATCCTTGTCTCTTCACTGCTCATAGTTGTCCTTGCAGCAACTCCTAGTTACACTCGGTGGTAAATGAGGCTCACTCGACCTTGTTTTGTTTTGGTGCTGATTAGCTCAGGAAGAACCCTCTGATAAGGCATCTTCTTTCACAGTTGTACGGTAGTCTACAGTCTGATGAAGAGACTATTCCTGTCTAGAACTACTCCTACTGGAAGCGGTTGAAATAACTGTCCCTTTGGTTGTGGTCCGGATGTGGGAGATCACTCTCACTCTGCAGCGTCGTTGACAACGCGGCGTTGAAAGTGCGCTCTCTTCGCCCCGGACCCGACTGATTCGAAGCGATAGTGCTGCGTTACGTCCAGTGAACTAGCGAGAAGCTACTGGGTAGTTTGTGAGCAGCCACGATTTCAGGCGAGCGTTGCGCTCTGCAGTGGCCTGCCCACTCATTAATTGGTTTCCAAGCAATTGAGTGTCGGAAATACTACAGTGACAATCACTTTATGGGGTGCATCGCAAAGTAAAATACCTCACAATCATGAAGAAAATGATGAAAACGCAGTTAATGACACCCATATCCGGAAGGATGGTAGGGCGTGGTTCAACTGAATTACCTTTTACTTAATGCGAACATGGCGTAAAATGCATTTCTGTAGTAGTAGTACTTCCATTTGAAACAGCTGCTATCCTGGCTTGCGGTAGACAAAGACATCATCACAGCTGTCACAAAATGAAAATATTCCATTAGGAGCGCAGTCACCATCATAGTGAAACGAAGTATACACGCCGCGCCCTCTCCGTGTCCGGAAAATGGAGCGCATATAGTACACCAACTGATGACAACAAGGACATTGCATAACTGGACCTGTACATATACAGTGCTCGGTTAGCGACAACAAAAACGGCTCAGAGGCAATGGTCAGCAACAGAGGAAGGTAGATACAATCACTCAAATACTAGGAATCAAGGCACCCACACATCGACATTTCCGGAGGGAAGTCTACGGTATGACGGGTATCCTCGCCGCCATGCTGGTGCTGGTGGGGATTCGTTCTCGTTGACCAGTCGACTTGAAAACGTTCGCGTTCTTGGCGTTGTTACAGTGGGCATACGAACTTTGGTGTATTTTTGATCCGTCTTGATCAGCCCAGATTTTATGCCGCGATCGATATAGTTGTCGACAAGACGCTTCAAATCGTTGTCCCCAACGCCTTGTTCAGTGGCCCTCCATACGGAATTCTGAAAAGGCTGCAATAGAAGTTATTATTTCCATTTCTGTCAATCACAACGACATCAAAGCGCGTCCTTACGGCTAGGGTAACCTCGAAGATACAATAGAAGAACACTAACTATCACTGGATTTAATGGGCGCGTGTCAGAGGCGTGCGGATTTTGACGCAGCGCAAACCATTTGTTGCCGCCTGAAGCGTTCCAGAGCTGGAGCCCTGACAAAGTCACGCACCACTGACACGCCCATACTGAATTTAGTATAGACGACTGTAGTGCGATTTGGATTGGTTCACCTACCCCGGAGCTCGTTCCTCCTGAGACTTGAAGCCCCACCCGCACTTTTAGTTTTGTTCGAGCAATTCATGAAATGCTTTCGTCGAGGTGAGAGCGCCAAGTAAGAATGTGCATTAGTGGGGATTCCCCGTATTTATTATGGCTGGATACACATATCGAAAACCCTATTAAATCTTTTGTATTCAGGCAAAGTGAACCCGTGAAAACCGATAAGGTCTGTTTAGGGATAATCTTAATTTGATTTTTTTTGACTTCACTTCGAAACATACCAATAATTGCTTGTAAGCAGGCGCTGGAAGTAGTTGAGAATAGATCGAGCATTCCCTCCTTTTTGATTGATATAAACGCAATTCAGGAAGGATGCTGAAATGAGACATATTGCGTACAGGGGAAAAGCGATCTCCTTTGAAAAAATTCAAAAGGTAGATTACCTCAGCCACTGTTCTGGCGTAATGACGCTGTGAACATAGGTATTCGCAATGGCAAGAACCTGAATTGCCATTTTGTTCAATAAATCTTGGACCTGACCGCATCTCAGTAGACTTTCTGAAGTCGGCATCCCGCACCGTCATAAAACAGCTCACCAGGCGCTATAACAGGTACATGGACGCGCAAGAGGTCCCGGACCAGTGGAAGACGTCAAGCGGTTCTTCTGTTCAAGAAGGGCGAGCGCGACCTAATGAAGAACTACCGCCCCATCGCCCTCCTCTCGCAGCCATACAAGTTGTTCACGAAGGTAATCCTCAACAGGCTCGAGAAACAACTGGATGACTATCAACCAGTGGAACAGGCCGGGTTTCGCAAGGGCTTCTGTTGCATGGACCACATCCATACTGTCACGCAGTTGATTGAGCGAACCAAGGAATACAAGCAGCCGCTCCTCCTCTGCTTCGACTATACGAAAGCATTCGACAGTGTGGAACTGAACTCTAAAGGCATCAACGTCGACGGAAAGAAGCTATCTAACTTACGATTCGCAGACGACATTGTCCTTATCAGTCAAAACTCAGCAGAGCTACAGCGGATGGTGGAGGAACTGAACAACGTCGGCAAAGCTATTGGCCTCACGATGAACCGGAGCAAGACCGAGGTCATGCGCAACGAGTGGGCAGATGCGTCACCCATCATACTCGAAGGCACTGCTCTACCGGATACCGACCCGTTACGTTTACCTTGGTCGACTC